ACTTCGTGGAAATGCAAAACCAGTTAGCCTAGACGACACCGCTCGAAAAGCATTCTCCACAGTTAAGTAACACATCGCTAGGCCAACCCTGCTTGCGCACCAAGACACTCAAGCGCCCATTAGTATCTCCGTAGACGCATCCGACTCAGCAATGTATATTTTTAATTTGTATCGATATTGAACATGCATGTTTGATTGGTTAATCACCACACACATCATTGTATCTAGGTCATTCACTTTTCTTCTTTGTTAGCCACGACCTATGAGTAATAATTATATCAATATCATAACATCTTCTTGATCTGTCATAGGACCAGCGAAATGTAACTCAACCCAGCCAAATCTCTTCGCACTCGGATCACCGAATTTCGAACGGTTCACCGGTTCTCATCAAGGCCAACGAAAACCGACGCACATGAATGGGTCACACTCTGTCGACCTGTTCGGTTTGTAGATTAAGGTTGTCAAAGTAGTCATAGTACCTGTACACGACGAAAGGGTAGTCCACAGCAAGCATTAACCTTGAGGTGTGATTAAGACACCAGCTAGTTGGTAATGCTTTTCCCGTCAAACCTGAGCAGGCCATTTGTTAATAGGACGAGTCCCATTTTCTGTGGTTATCCTATGAAACAATTCCAAGAGTCTATTCTCCCCTACGGTGTGTTGTTTGAAGGCCTAGAACATGAATGGGGGGATGATGTTAGTCGAACGAGCACTGTGCTTTAAATTTTTAGGTTTCAGTCTAGGGTGACTGGATTATTTGCTTTCGAAATTGAGGAATGAAAAACGATTCTGAGGTATCTAGATGTTATGGTAATACGTAGGTTTATTAATTTTTTCATAAAAATAAAATACGGTTTCTGGTTTCTCTGTGTGATATGTGTAGGTAATCACACTTACATCTAATATCTTTTATTCATTTGTATCAGCTGTGAACATACTTTGTTCATGATTATTAGGTACTTTCGTTAGTCTTGTCTCTCCAATGAATCTTACCTTCACCGTTCCGTTTTTTTAATTGGCCACGGCTTTCAGTCGGAGAGTGTTTCACGCGTTTCTAAAAACTTTCTTTGCTTATTGTCGTCTTTGATCAAGTTATTGTAGACTACTATGACGCTAACACAAGCAACCTTACCTCCTGTCCTTTCCAGACTGAAACTTCTGTCGTTCAAGGTCGTACAAGCAAGAGGTAATTTTGATCACGCGTGCACATAGCGACATTCCGTGTATGAATTAGATTTCACCCAGTTGTGAAACACTCAGTGGTAACACATCGAATCCACGTAGAATCCTATGTACTTGATTTCTGATATGTTTACAAGAAGTCGTTTATCTTGTTTTCTCAATGTAGAATAGATAAGCAAACGGAGCGCGCCTTACGTTTTTGTTAATCTGGGTTCTTACCTGGAGGTATTGGTGATCCACTGCTACCAGACACGGAAGCACGTTAAGCGAAAGCTTCTTCTATTTCGTCCTCAACCATTTGAACCATTTGAATGGTTAGTTTTAACCAAAATGCGTTACAAATCACACATCAACCCTCTCACTTGTTGTCTGTGTTGCCGTATTAGTTTTTTCTGTGAGCCTTCACTGGTAATTAGTATCAAAGTTTCATTTTTTTCGGTAACTCAGTGCGTTATATCGTGGAACGAGAGTTGCCGTCGTTTGACGGGATGGATACAGAGTACTAGGACATTTCAGTTGGCTCGTATAATTATTCTTTACTTCACCCGAATATTCTTCTGTCATAACTTAATCATCATATATCTGATATGATGGAGAAGTATATGTTGAATTCCCAGACATTTCTCAAAGATATCTTGTGCTAAGAATTCGGTCATCAACCACCACGGTGATTGAGATACAAGTTATCACTTCCACCTTTTATGCTCCTTCTAATTTGATTGTCCGGAAGTTCATTTTAATTCCGTTGACCCCAGTTATCCAATGTTGCAGTTTACGCCCAACTTGTTATTCAAATATACATTATCTATAATTCCCCATTCCGTTATTAGGACAATTTTTCTTTAAAACTCATTGTATAAATGTTTCAGATCCGATTTTAAGATTATTTTAATTATTTATATAAACTTAGTAAATCAGTGTTTCAGAATGTTAGCATCGTTAATTAGTAAATTCTCTATGGTATCTACGAGAATCTTGCTTTTGCATGCATCAAGCTCTAGAATACTGTACCAACATCCAGACTTAGAGTTCGTACACAAGATTCCCTGATTCCTATTTGAACTGTTCAAAAACTGGAATTTATAGAGGAATCCTTCAAATACTTAAAAATTTGTAGCTGGACACTTGGATGAATATTTGAAAATTCAGTCATATCGTTGGGGTTACTAGATCCCCAGAAATCACTTGGAAACGTCTGATTCTTGTAATTTCATCTTGGAAATTTGAATTTCTCGTCTCCGCTTTAAAAGCGTCTATTTATACCTTCAAATTGTATTTCCCAGTTGAAAAAACCCTAAATGTCATTGGTTCGTTTCCTCTTTTAATATGATATTTTGTGGCGTTTTTTAATGACATTTCCATGCTGTATTTATACGATTGAGTTGTGTGCTTGTTGTTAGTGTTTCTGGGTGTTTGTGTGATACGCTTTCCATTCCTCTGAACCGGGTCTTCTCTAGTTAGCAGGGCTGGGACGCATCGGAATAATTTAGTTTATCTTGTGTCGCTGATCCCTCGTAATCTTTTTAAACATAGCACATGTTGAGTCAGGTGTACTAATATTTTTATATAATGTGATTTGATGACCATATTAATCCTTACATTTTCTTTCGTGAGTAGTGGCATACTATGGTATTCCACCTTCACTCTATTTGTCTCTCAATTATTTGTTACCATTGTAGTCACTGTTTTAGTGTAACTTTTCCACCGGATCACTCTTCACTGTATTGATTTCAAATATGGAAAGATGAAATGACAGTTGCTTCTCTCGAATCATGCAATGTATATTTGCGTAGTAAGCTGAAATGATATATAAATACCAAAGCCTTGCTGTCTCATTGTCCTATAAAGTCATTAGCTGCTGACCTCAGTAGTCTTAACAGATGCTGACTACCTAGTTAGTGTCCTCACAATCATCTTGACCTGTGCATGGTGATGTTGGATGATATAGCTCAAATTTATTTCTAGTGTCATTGAGTTATACAGTTTCTCTTTTTTCAGTTCCTAAATTTTAATATTATTGGATACCCTTTTTCCTGTTTCTTGAAGTCACATTCTCGGCTTTGAGTTCTTATCATCATTATTTCTACTGTAGTTCTGACTTCTTCCCCATCCATAGGACCAACTTCGTCCTATTATCCAGTTAGTGTGAAATGTTGAAGCAGTAAGCATACGTGTATACGTTGTTTGTGACCGACTGATGGTTAAAGTGCTATTTTGCATGGCTCTCTGTTGCTGTATCTATAACTTTTTTCTATCTGAACTGCATAGTATACTTTGTCGCCTAAATATGTATGATAGTGTGTTTGCATCAACTTTAAATGTTTTCGTTCTGGTCGAGGATGCATTGATCACATCTTCACCCTCCGCCAAATGTTAGAACACCGTCATACTTATCGCAGGCCAACAATCGTAGTGTTTCTTGATATCAGGGCTGCCTTCGATTCGTTGGACAGGACTGTTCTCTGGGATTGTCTATTGAAGAAGGGTGTGCCTGAGAAGTTCATTAACATCTTAAAAGCCCTGTATACGAACACCTCAGGCAGAGTGAGGGCATACAACCACCTTTCTCCCTTGTTCCATTCGAGCAGTGGGGTTAGGCAGGGTTGCCCGATCTCACCATTCCTCTTCAACTTTGCCATCGACGACATCCTAGAAACAGCTCTGATGGATGTAAGTAATGGCGGTGTGGATATGTTGCCTGGAGAACGACTTCTCGACCTCGAGTATGCGGATGATATTGTCTTACTGTGTGATAATGCCCAAGGCATGCAATCAGCACTTAATCAGTTGGCAATCAGTGTCCGCAGGTACGGCATGTGCTTTGCACCCTCCAAGTGCAAAGTACTTCTACAAGACTGGCAGGATTCTAATCCTGTACTCACCCTGGATGGTGAGGAGATCGAAGTAGTTGAGAAGTTCGTGTATCTAGGTAGCTATATAAGTGCTGGTGGTGGCGTGAGTGATGAGATTGATGCACGTATAATGAAAGCCAGAGCGGCTTATGCCAATCTGGGCCATCTTTGGCGCCTTCGTGATGTTAGTCTGGCTGTAAAAGGTCGGATCTACAACGCGTCGGTGAGAGCAGTTTTGCTCTATGCTTGTGAAACCTGGCCTCTCCGAGTTGAGGATGTTAGACGTCTCTCTATGTTCGATCATCGTTGTCTCCGAAGGATTGCTGACATCCAGTGGCAACACCATGTTAGTAATGCAGAGGTTCGGCATCGTGTGTTCGGGCGCAGAGACGATAATTCAATTGGTGTCACCATCTTGAAACACCGACTTCGGTGGCTCGGACATGTTTTACGAATGTCGTCCCAGAGACTTCCGCGTCGTGCATTATTTGCCGACCCTGGGACTGGTTGGAGAAAGCGGAGAGGAGGTCAGTGTATGACATGGTGTCGTGGCATGAAAGAGAGCTGCAAAGGGCTAGCTTCCGTTGGTCCTTCACGACTCCCTGGTTGGGGTCCGAGAGATAGTGCAACACAGTGGCTAGAGACGTTATCGGATATGGCTCAGAATAGAAGCCAGTGGCGATCCTGCTGCAACCTTCTTTTACTTTCTACATAAAGAGTGGTTCTAACTTTCCTAACTGAAAGAATCTTCTGGTTGTACATTTCAGCCCGCCTTATCTTTTCATCCTTTATCTACCTACTTTCATTATTTTGTGTGGCGCATATGTACCTGGTGCCCTTTTGTACCAATATATATGTGTTTAAATAATAAATAATAATAAATGTTTGTGAGTGTATTAATTTTTAATCTTATTACATTTTCTAGGTCTTGGTAAATACCACATGGATTACTAGGTCATATTCATGAATTCACCAAATTATAACCATCATTGTTTAATTCGTCACGATCCTGTTACTGCACGTGCCATTTCACGTTTAAGCCATGGAGTTGCTCGTTTAACTGCAAACCTCAATCCCGATAGACAGTATCGACATTTTCGCCTCAGACACGCAAAATCCAGGAACAGAACTGAATCAGAATCTACATTGAACGACCAGTAAGCGTCTTTTCACTTTATCCTGTACAGTCAGTCAAAATGTCATGCCGTTCATTTTATTGCTTCTGAGGGACCCTCTAAAATATCAAACCTACCAGTACATATATATATATATATATATATATATTTATATATAAATAGTTTTTTATAAGCAACATACCGGGATGGAGTAGTCATCCTCAAATATTTAAGCCCTATCGATCCAAGCTGAACACTATTTGGTAATTTTGGGAGCTTGATGGAAAAGATAAAAAGAGGCGACTTTATGACAGTGTAGTTTTATTGGGTTTTCATGCACTGACTACTCTCGATTCCTTGTGTAGTCTTATGCATAACGTATCTCACAATAAAATATGAATACGGACAAAAAGCATTTAAGATTCTGTCATTACGTTTTTCATACCGTAAAAATGATATTATTTCATGAGTTTACTAAGTCATTACCTGTTGCTTCGGGCCATCTCAGTAGATGAGGTTATTATTAACCCTAGCCTCAATGCCACACTTTCATCTGTTCTTTATCTTTAAATCTTGAGTTTAACATCATATCATGTCATTCTTTAATCATGCCTTTTCTGATTTAGATACCTTACATTATATTCACCATTCCATCTAATATTAGTAACCCTTCTTGTTTACATTTTGTCAGTGTTCCTCATCCTCAATGCTGACTTGGGGTGCCTATAATTGAATGACCTGTCTAACTGGTTGTCGATACGTTTGAGCTATGCGACTAACCGTTATAAGACAACTTTTAACGGAAAATTTTTATTTCCTGTCTATTTTCCTATATCTTAGCCAATCTATTACAACGGGTTCAAAACGTAAATGGCGACCGGATAAAATTGAACTGGATACAATCATGGAATTGGAACATTCCACAGCTGTCTGTTTGAAACCTTCTATGCAGTCACCACCATCATCGTTATTATTATCATCATCGTCATCAAACATGGAATCATTACAGCATGTATCCGTATCGATAGACGCTTTAAATTTACAAACTAAGCCAATTCCAACATTTTCTTGTTCAAATCCTGTATTGTATAAATCACTAAGCTCCGACCATATTGAAGCTATGGGACGTTATTCTTCAGGATCATCAATGCTTTCGGTCACTGGATCGTCAGGTAATAATTCTGAGAGTGATGCTTCGTCACATGATGCTGACATTGAAGATGCAGATCATGGTGAAATAATCTGTTTCAAAGGTGGTAGATCGTTGACAAGGATTAGTAGACGTAAATCATCTGTTATCGACAAACATTCTTATGAATTATGGAGATCAATGGATACTGTGTATCATGCTTCTGGGGGAGGCGGCGGTGGCGGTGATTCTTCGGATGGCCTGTCAATAAATATTAAAATTCCAAGATTAACATCAATACACTTACATAATACAACTGGATTATATTGTGAACATTCATCGTCTAGGCTATCACCGGCTATTTCACCATCTGGTTATCAACAGACCAAAAGAAATACTATTAGTGGTATGTTAGCCTCTTCGTCATCTGATACAAATCATTGTCGCCGTAGTCGTCGTAACAAGAGATGTAAATGTAGACTGCGAAATAAGAGTGATACTACCGATGATAAACACGGGGAGTAAGTATATACATTTTTTTATTATTGTTGCCAAGTGGGTAATATTCATTTGTGTTTGTCTCTCACCTAAATATATATTTATTCGAAATTCAAAAGAATTTCATACACTTATTTCCCTTCATTATTTTGAGGAGATCAAGAACAAAGAATTGAACAGAATGACATGAATTCATTTTATGTCGTTAGGTTCTCATCAACTGCTTACAACTTATAATATTTTAGAATCAAGATTATCATAAATATATAAGAACTTTCGTCTAAATTAGAGCGAATAGTTTCACAGTATTTGGGCGCCGACTTGAAAAAGCTTGGACCATATTGCCAGGCAAAACGTTGAATTTACTTCAAATTAATTCGCGGAGACTTTACAAATATATTATTCCTATTTAAGATTATCATAATGTTTACATACTTCTCAAATTTGCCGAAGCCATAGCTATCGAACACTTCAAACCGGCCTTATGTATGTACAAGGAAACACTTGCGAATCTTTCCTTACCATGATGATTTTGTTGTCAGCTCATTACGTCATTCTTGCAATTTCTTTCTCCTACTTTAACTGTATCATTTATTTGAAATACATAATTTTATTTTTAACTGACTGATCTCAACTCATTTCATTCTTAATTGCAATTAATTTATATTCAACTACTTCATTGCGTAACCAGTTAATTATTTTAGCTATATGATCTCTTGTTACTATGTTAGATGATCCAGAATCTTCGTTTAGGTTTTACTGTCTTCAATCTCATTATCGCAGCATGGTGAAAAATATCCGATTTTACTTCCCTAAATGTGTAAACTTAAAGTGAATCCATGTTACTCTGCACATTTCTTTGTTTTTGCTTTCTTTAAAAGAATTATTAAACGAATTGGTCACTTTCTTGTAATAACAACATTCATGGAACAGGAGACTAAGTTACCTCTAAATGATGAGTTAATTGAAGGTTGGAATGTCCAATCGCTAAAATAGTTACATGTAATAATAAATGCAAATAACTATCTTTGACCTAACTCATAGTTGAAGCCTAAGAAAACTGAATTATGATAGAATTGTAACCATAAAGCTTATAGGCTTTTGACACGTTATCCTACCGATTTAGTTCTAAGGACCAGCTTTTTATTTAGACTTAATTTTACTTCAGATCCGATCAGCTATCATAAGAACAAAGGAAAATATCTAACTGTTCAAATTTCATTTCACTAGTTGGTTTGTTTTTTTAGCGAGTTGGTTTTCTACGGGATAGGGTCACTAAACCCATGCCCAACCCTCCTCCTTTACCCGGGCTTGGGACCGGCGGTAGCCCCCGGAGGAGCTACAGGTGAAGTTCATTTCACTAGTTACTCAATCGAATTACACTAAACTAAATAGTTGGAACAATTTATTAGTTTGTGACTAAATTTACATTTGATTTTTGTTAAATAATATTGAATTCATAGATATATACAGAGGATTTCATAAGAACTAATGATATATTTTCAGGTAATGCTATTTAATCCCATGCTCATCAAAAACTAAATCTTGTTAGTAAGATTATAAAAAGTGTAGTTAATCTAACAAGTATATGCTATAAATAAATTAACTTATCGAGATTGGGTTTCAATCAACAACTTTAGCTTCAGTCGGTCCTTCACGACTCCCTGGCTGGGGTCCGAGAGATGGTGCAACACAGTGGCTAGAGACGTTATCAGATATGGCTCAGAATAGAAGCCAGTGGCGATCCTGCTGCAACCTTCTTTTACTTTCTACATAAAGAGTGGTTCTAACTTTCTTAACTGAAAGAGTCTTCTGGTTGTACATTTCAGTCCGCCTTATCTTTTCATCCCTTCTCTTCCTACTTTCATTATTTTGTGTGGCGCATATGTACCTGGTGCCCTTTTGTACCAATATATATGTGTGTTTAAATAAAATAGAATAAAAAATTTTTTACTATTGGTTACTCTCGAATCGATTGCCCTGGCGGTGCGAGGTGATAAAAGGACGTGATACCACCACGTCAAGGTAGCAGCAACGGTCAGGAATTTGGCACTCTTTGTGTTCTGCCAAATTCTAATCTTCTGAATTCTTCATGTCTCTATCTTCTTTCTCTTTTCAAATTTATTTCACTGGATTATACTGCTTCAATAACATCTTCAAACCCTAATCTTTCCGATTACTACTTATACTCTTACTACTTCTACCACTATGGGATTTGAATCGACAACTGCATCTCTGTGGTAATGTGGTATGGCAACTCGAACTGATGTACATACGTACGTACGGAGTTCTACGTTGTGACTGACTAGTTAGTTACTCTATATGAATAGCGATCAGTTGTTATTAAGTTTTATATTCAAACATAATAGAAAAAATATGACTTAAAACTGAGGACATAAATGAGTATCTGTCAAATAAATTACATTATTCTATATACCTAAATGTAATCGAATATGACGAATGGATACTACCGTGCTACTGTGACTGATTTTGAGTTGTCATACAACGTATTCAGCTATAGTTTGCGGCTATTACGCAGGCTTTAACAAGGAATTTTATTTTATATTCATTATTTATTTATTTGAACACATAAATATTGGTACAAGGGAGCACCAGATATATATGCGCCATACAAAACACTGTCACTTCATTTATTTGTGTGAGGGCTATGATACTGCCCAGGTGCCCAGACCGAAGCAGGTGGTTTTCTTAGGGGGCCACATCCCAAGCCTACGACCTAAAGATCCAATCCACAAGGCAGTGAAGCATCGTGAAGGGATGCAGTTCCATGTTAGTCGGTCATCAACAATTGATTCATACGCCATTTGTTCCATCAGGATACTGGAGCCCATGTACACCATTGTTTTGGAATCAAGGTTTTCCAACTCCCCTAGGTTGATTATCCGTGTCCACCAACCCGGTTTGAGCGCCGGACATTCGCTTTTCGTCCTCTCAATTTCGTAAACAACAGTAATGTCAAGAGAAGGTAGTGAGTAGGACTTCCCTGAAGGAGGTTATATACGCGTGGCCATGTGAGAGCATTTTAAGAGGGAGAGCGGACTCTCCCCACTCGTCCGTACCAGGGCATTTGGGGCATTTTATTTTTTATATTATTTATATATAAAACTATAAAATTTTATTTTATAGTGGACGTGTACGTTTGAATAAGTCAATTACTATTAAGTATTCATTAACACCGACATTGAGTATCCATAGACACCTACAATTCATCTATGCAACCTCATAAACAATTTATTGTCTCTGAAAAAATGTTATCACTGTTATTATTTATCATTTATTCTTCTATCAGACATATCTGTCACAGAAGTTGTGCCAAAAATGGCTCACATTCTTCGTCTAGTTCATCTTCATTGTCAACTGAAGAATCATCCGATGAGAAACGTTCGAAAGGTATATTCAAGTATATTTGATGAAATTTATTTCCACAGCCTTATTTACCCAGTTAATTTTCTATACATTTTGATATTATTTAACTATTTAATATGTATAAACGGTTTAACATCAAGGATACTATGCACTGCAAGTTTAACAATGTGTCATTCCACTTGGAAATAATACACAGTAAGACTAGATTGGCAAAATAATAAATACGTTATCAGTATGAGTTTGTAAAGGTAGTTGAATTTATTTGAGATCACGAATCGATCGAAGTTTCACAACCATTGGAAACCTGGAAATACTGGAAAGGCTTCCTTAGTATAGGAATCCCTGACTGTGCCCAATGTCGCGGATTGATTGATGTTAGATCTTTACATCATTTGGTTCTGGCTCGGTGATTTAAAGGCTAAGTGTTCGCGCGTGAGACCGGTATTGATTTCGATTCCCAACTGCGGGACTGTAGAATCGTACTAGGACGAAACGGCCGTCCAGTGCTTTCAGGTTTTAACTGGTGGTCTAACATTGATCGGTTCATGATTTCATTGAAATTCAAGTATCTCCATAATCCCAAAGTGAACATATATTCTTATTGTATAATTACTAAGTAACTACATTACTGTGTCTATGATTAAATAATACTATATTGTATATCTGCTAGTGTACGTGATTTAAAGCTATTTTACTAACTTACTGAAGAAAAAAGTGCGTATATGTCAACATTTGCTTTTCTACTTTGATATGTCATTTTATCAGTAGCTTATGTTTAAATTCATTTGGTATTGTTTACTTGAATCTTCCCATTGATGTTTAGGACTACAATTGATCAATCTCCTATTGGCATACTGTGCATATTGCCTTAAGTCACAAGTGTTATAAGCAAAGATGGATTTTGACTAGAAGTGGAATCCAGGACGCGCGTTTCATCCTATTTTGAACTTGTCAGCTGGATTTACCTGCATCCCATTGTTGATGTTCACCCCTGGACTCGAACCCAGTACCGTTCACTTCGACTTTCCTACTGAGTTTTGATAACCACTCGCTTGTGCACATACACCAACACGATATTGATTAATTGCAATTCTTAGCATCAATGTTAAAATTCAGGTAGACAATACCAAGTAAACTTATATTTCACCCCATCGCACAAGTAAGTGGCTATCAAGACTCAGTAGCTAGGTCGATAACGCAATGGTGTTTGAAGTGAACGGTACTGCGTTCGAGTCCAGGGGTGAACATCAACTCTGGGATACGGTTATATCCAGTTGATGAGTCCCAAATAGAACGAAATGCGTGTCCTGGATCCCATTGTTAGCCAAAATCCATCTTTGCTTAATATCTATCTTTAGTTAATTGATAAATTCAACTGTAACTCGCTACTTTTTGTCCAACTATACCTTAATGTTGACTTAACGTAACCAATTATTTTTCTGTGTGTATCGTATACAAAAATGTTTGGTTTCTTTTATTTATTCTAAGTTTATCTGTTTTTACGTATAGGAATTATTATACATCTGATTGATCTTTGAAAACTGGCCATTAGTGGATAATTGTTTCATTCTATACATTCTTTTAAACTCCTCCACCAGTATGAATCAACAATGATCCAGTTTGAATTAACGTTTCCTCAAACTTCCTAGTCTATGTTTAGTGGTTTATTAGTTATAGTTGTAATGTTATTTTCTATATTTCATAGGTTTCATTGTATACAAACATCGATTCACCTCTATCCCGGAACATCAGAATACTTGTGATACCGATATGGTGAATATGACTTCTCGTAATAAGAAAACTATTCAAAAAATCGTTAAATCACCATCTACCATAATGGATAACAACCGTTGTGAAACAATTGTTGATCCATTCAAGTCAAAATATCCGTTAAATGATTCAACTCTAGATGAACCAGTTGATCCAGAACTGGCTAATCTTTTACATGTAAGATCAGGTATTTCATGTCTCCATTCGTTTTTAAAAAATGTTATTCCACATGGAAGTGTCAAGACGAATAGACATTTATCTATGCAAGTTGTAAAGAATAGTAATGAGAAATTGGTTGTATATTCAAATGAAACAACTTTTCAATGCTCCTTAGTTTCTGATAGTTTTATAGACGATACTAATTTATGATGTGGTTTTCACGTAAATTATTATGATTATTATTGGCTATTAAGATCTGTAACAAGAGAACTCTGTATCCATTTGTATCATTTGCATTGAACTGGTTAAATGGTGCCTCGTCTGATAACTAAATTAAAGTTTTGATTAAAAAAATAGTTTAGGAATAAGTCAGTTAAAATCGAGCAAATGACTTTGAAGCCTCTACACGGAATTGAATAAAAATGGTAGCATTGAACGTATTGTATGTTTAATTCTTTCTATGTAAATTACATATGATCTTCGTAATACTCGTAATCATGGGCAGTATGGTGATTTCTCGGAGTTATTTCCGTCCTCATGAGCTTTTAAGAAGACGTATGTTCAATAGCTATGTAGAAGAATTTGTATATCGTTTTTTATCGACTTCTGTGGATTCATTGGTTATGCAAAACTACACAGCCACTACCAGGGAAATCTTTCTCACGAAGGAAGTGTTGTTTACAAAATTGAGAGAACAAAAACTAATGTCCGGCGCTTTAACCGGGTAGGTCAATATGGAGGATCCACCTAGAGTAGTGGAAAAACCCAGATTTCCAATCAGTGACGCACATGGGCTATAGGATCCTGAGGGAAAAACAGTGTATGAAACTATTGTCGGTTACCAGCTGCCGTGAAAGTACATCTAACGTTGTTCTACTGCTTCGTCAATTAGACCTGTAGGTCGAAGGCTTGGTGAGTGGCCTCCTAAAACAACCACCTGCTTCGGTTCGGGCTCCTGATCAGTATTCTAGCCCTCACACAAATCAAATAGTGAAGTGTGGCGTATATATATTTGGTGTCCCCTCATACCAATATTTATGTTTCAATAAATAAATAATGTAACTTTATGACTCACCTTTTTCTCCGTTATTTTCTGAATAATCAGTATCCATTTTTTTCTTTTGTCTGTCGATATAGTTGAGAATGGTTAAGGCGGTAGAATTAAGATGTCTTCATTTGTTTATATCATCAGAATATTCAGTATCATACAAAATATAAATATTTTTCAGTAAATATCTTTATTATCAGAAGGGGATTTTGTGGAGGTTTTAGTAATTTTATATAATTGAAATCATGAGTCAATTAAGGCTAGACCACCATGGAAAACCTGGGTCCTGAGTTCAAATCTCGTCAGACGGGATCGTGGACGCTCACTGTCCCACAATTGGACGAAACGGCCGTCCAATGCTTCCAGGTTCTTCATGATAGTCTAACTTCAATTGACTTATAATTTCAACTATATAAAAATATCTTTATTGTCATATTAGTGTCTACTTATTGTGTTATTACTTATAGAAATATTATTCTTTAGCTTAACAATCATATCTTCAATCTCTATGTATAAAAACGAGTTATGATTATGCTCATTTAGTTGATTTTTTTTTGTTTTCGTTTAATTTTATTAAGGGTACATGGCCATTATTAAGTAACAGAGCAAAATTAGGTTATACTAAAGCAATGAATTCATCTCATTCAAAACGATATCCTAATTTAAAAAAACGTAATACACCTAATAACAATCATCATCATCATCATCATAAAATGAAAGATGATTCAAAGTCTATACATCAAGCTTCAATTAAATTTATTCCATCTAAGCTAAATCAAGTTGATGGACAAAATAATTCCATATTGAAGGTAAATTATATTTACAATCATTTTGTTTATTATTATTCTCAGAAGAGATTTCAGTATTTTTCATAGTTGAAATCATGAGTCCATTGAAGCTAGACCACCAAGGAAAATCTGGAAGCACTGGACGGCTGTTTCGTCCCATTGTGAGTCTCTTCAGCAGTGTACATCCACGATCCAACCTCGTGAGATTTGACCTCAGGACCTACTTGTCTAGCACCAGAGCACTTAACTGATAGACCACTAAGCTGGCCGATATCTAACGATGTTAATGTCTAACTCCAACCAATCCACGAAGTTGAGCAACCGTTCACCAATTGTATTCATTGAGTTTCTATTTCACAACAGACGTGGTTTGAATTCCACTGGTTACTGCTTCTCACTAGAACTCTTGGATTTACCTCTCCAAGTCAGTCACTAGTGAGCATATTATTATTATTTTCAGAAGGGGTTTTTGTTGAGATTTCAGTATTTTTCATAGTTATTATTATTATTATTGTTGTTATAACGATAGGATACTTGTTATAACGCTGGGGTTTCTTGTTATAACAGTCCTTTCACTTTTTACACGTGTGTGAGACATTAATTTACCTTAGACGAATATCTACACTAGATTCCTACCTAGTGTCTATTCTACAGGACTTCAACACAACTCAGATCAAGAAAACGAGATTAGCCTAACCTATAAAGTCAATATATTTCCACGCCAAAAATCCAACAACAAGGAACAGTCAATACATAATAAGAATAGGGGGATATATAACACTATCTGACTAAGCAAAACAACCAATTATTATCGGTCTCACCCACACATCAGTTATTATTATTAGCTTTATTCAATATTATATTTTTGTTACAGTATAGAATTTTCAGCACAATGTATTTCAACAAATTTCCTTTATCTTTTTATTTCTCGATGGATTTTGACGATAACGTATTGAGTGATCACCAATTGGATGTTAAAAGTTCAAAAAGTCAATATTGATTAATGTATATTCTTTTCTATGCATATTGTTAGCAACTATTATATCTCTGATTAAGCTCTTTTGTTATTTGTACAGTGAAAGGTTTTAAATTTTTCACATCTCAATTAATTGATCAATACTTACTTACTTACTTACGCCTGTTACCCCTCGTCGAGGAGCATAGGCCGCTCACCAGCATTCTCCATCCAACTCTGTCCTGAGCCTTCCTTTCCAGTTCTTTCCAGTTACTATTCAGCCTTTTCATATCGGCTTCTATTTCCCGGCGTAGTGTGTTCTTTGGCTTTCCTCTCTTCCGCTCCCCTTCCGGATTCCAAGTTAGGGATTGAGTCGTGATGCACATTGGTGATTTCCTCAATGTATGTCCGATCCACTTCCAACGTCTTTTCCTTATTTCCTCTTCAGCTGGAAGCTGGTTTGTCCTCTCCCATAAAACGCTGTTGCTGATAGTATCCGGCCAGTGGATGTTGAGTATTTTGCGTAGACAACTGTTTATAAATACTTGTACCTTCCTGATGATGGTCGTAGTAGTTCTCCACGTTTCAACTCCATACAGTAGGACTGTCTTGACGTTCGTATTGAAGATTCTGACTTTGAAATTAGTTGAGAGTTGTTTTGAGTTCCATATGTTCTTCAATTGTAGAAATGCTGCCCTTGCTTTGCCAATCCTCGCCTTTACATCTGCATCCGATCCTCCTTGTTTATCAACGATGCTCCCCAGGTACTTGAATGTTTCCACCTCTTCCAGAGTTTCGCCATTAAGTGTGATTGGGTTGGTGTTCTCCGTGTTGCATTTAAGAATCTTGCTTTTTCCTTTGTGAATGTGGAGACCTATCGATGCGGAGGCTGCTGCTACATTTGCTGTCTTCATCTGCATTTGGTCGTGTGTATGAGAGAGGAGGGCTAGGTCATCTGCGAAGTCCAAATCATCTAATTGATTCTGAGCTGTCCATTGTATTCCGTATTTCCCTTCAGATGTCGAATTCTTCATAATCCAGTCAATCACTAGAAGGAAGAGGAATGGGGAGAGTAGACAGCCTTGTCTGACTCCGGTCCTTACTGGAAATGCATCTGTCAGCTGTCCTCCATGCACCACTTTGCACTGTAATCCATCGTATGAGTTTTGGATAATGTTGACGATCTTCTGAGGAACTCCATAGTGTCGAAGAAGTTTCCATAATGTTCTCCTGTCCACGCTGTCAAACGCCTTCTCGTAGTCAATAAAGTTGACGTATAGTGATGAGTTCCACTCAACTGATTGTTCAACGATGATCCGTAGTGTCGCAATCTGGTCTGTGCACGACCGATCCTTACGGAATCCAGCCTGATGATCCCGAAGTTCGGCGTCTACTGCGTCTTTCATCCGATTCAGCAACACTCTGTTGAAAACTTTTCCTGGTACTGATAACAAACTGATGCCTCTGTAGTTCTCACATTGGCTCAGATCTCCTTTCTTTGGTATCTTGATGAGATATCCTTCTTTCCAGTCCGTTGGCACTTGTTCCTCTTCCCAAATCTTCTTCAATAGAAGGTGAAGCATGTTTGCAGTTATTTCAATGTCTAAATTCAGTGCTTCTGCTGGTATATTGTCAGGTCCTGCCGCCTTCCCACTTTTGATTTGTCTGATGGCCATCTTGACTTCTTCGATCGTTGGTGGAGTGATATCTATTGGAAGGTCAGTGTGGGCTGCTTCGATGTTCGGTGGATTCAATGGGGCTGGTCTATTCAGCAGTTCCTCGAAGTATTCTGTCCATCTTTCCTTCTGTTCTTGAATCTCAGTGATTGTCTTTCCTTCTTTGTCCTTGACTGGTCTCTCTGGTTTGCTATATCTCCCTGCCAATTTCTTCGTTGTATCATATAGTTGTTTCATATTCCCTTCTCTTGCAGCTTTTTCCGCCGCCGTTGCTAGTTCTCCCATATATTTCTGCTTGTCGGCTTTAATGCTTTTCTTCACTCCCCTGTTTGCTTCTGCGTAGTCTGCTTGTGCTTTGACTTTCTCTGATCGTGTTCGGCTGTTGTTAATTGCTAGTCTCTTGTTCTTCCTTTCTTGAATTTTGTCCAGGGTTCCCAGAGAGATCCATTCCTTGTGATGATGCTTCTTAGGACCAAGAACCTCCTGACACGTTGAAGTTAGTGCTTCTTTTATCCCTTTCCAGTTGTCCTCCAAAGTAGTTTCTTGTTCTTTCAGTAGATCCTGTAGAGCTTGGAACCTATTGTTGAGAGTTATCTTGAATTCTTGGAGCTTGTCAGCATCTCGAAGGAAGGCTGTATTAAACCTTTGTAGTGCTGTTCGTCCAGTTGTCCAGTGTTTCTTAAGCTTCAGTCTCATCTTGGCCACAACCAGCCAGTGGTGATCTGAAGCTATGTCAGCTCCTCTCCGGGTTCTTACATCTTCCATTGATCTTCGGAATTTTTTTGTTGATACAGATGTGATCTATCTGGTTCTCTGTGGTATGGTCCGGTGAGATCCATGTAGCTTTGTGTATGCGTTTGTGTGGGAATATTGTGCCGCCTATAACCAATTTGTTGAATGCACTTAGGTTTGCAAGTCTCTCTCCATTTTCATTTCTCTCTCCTAGTCCATGTCGTCCAATTATATCTTCATATCCTGTGTTGTCCACTCCAACTTTAGCATTTAGATCTCCCATCAGGATGGTGAGGTCCTTTCGTGAGCACTTTGCTACAATTGATTGCAGCCTTTCATAGAACTGATCTTTATCGTCGTCGTTGCTATCATTGGTGGGTGCATAACATTGGATAACGTTCATTTTGATCCCTTGCTTCTTTGTTCTGAATGATGCATTGATTATCCTGGGTCCATGAGATTCCCATCCCACAAGTGCATTTCGTGCTTCTTTGGACAGTATTAGAGCAACTCCCTGAGTGTGTGGAGCATTTTCCCCTTCGTGACAGGAGTACAGCAGCATATCTCCTGTACCTAGCCTTTGTTGTCCAGTTTGTGTCCAATGGGTTTCGCTGATTCCGAGTACTGCCAAGTTGTATCTTCTCATTTCCATTGCTATTTGGCTGGTTTTTACTGTCTCCCACATTGTCCGGACGTTCCATGTACCTATAAAGAGTGTTGCTCTGGTTGTTAGAAGGTGCACCGGTCTCGTGACTTCCGAAGAATTTCGGCTTTCATCATGAGACGTCATAATTATTCGTTCAACTTGGAGGGCAGAGTTTAAATGGTTTGAATGATTTTTTCTGGTTAGCGTTTTTTTAGCGAGTTGATTTTCTACGGGATGGGGTCGCTAACCCCATGCCCAACCCTCCTCCTTTACCCGGGCTTGGGACCGGCAGTAACTCTAGAAGAGCTACAGGCGGAGTTAATTGATCAATAATTAGTGATTAATACCACGTTTATTTGGTCCTTTAGTGCTGATCGATTTTCATTGATCAAGTTACAATATATGAACCATAAATCGAATTAACTAGACATAGCTCGTACCATATTAAGATATTAAGTGGTTAGAGGTATTCAGTTATCTCGATTAATAGAATTTGATCAATACCAATCTGATTTTGGCCACTACTCAGTGATTATTCAATTGTAAATATCCCTGTTCTATAGGAGGTCAGTTGTAATCTAAATAGTTCTACCATAAAGCTAGGTGACTTGAGTTCGCATCCATTAGAGTGCATTAGTTTTTTTCAAGATTGCAAGTACACATAGCTGACGAGTACCACCTAGGATGAAACACCGTTTAAGCAGGGTTTCCTGACGATAACTTTAAAAAACTTGTTTCTGATTGTCTATTTAGAAGACATTATCAACAGTGGCGTAGCTCAAGAAGAGGTGGACATTTTAAACATTATTTTACAAGTAGCGAACAATCCATTATAATTAGTTATTAACGTCCTCGTCAGCTGCTTGCAGCTTATAATATTTTAAAATCTCATAATATAATGAGAATTAATCTTGAGATGGAAAACTGCTGACTGGCACACTGATATCAAAGGGTTATCCACTAAAGTTTATAACTAGGTGCAAACATCAGTCAACACTAATTCCTCTTTCATTCTGTTCCAAAGAAAACTGTTTAGAGGTGAATCTAGCTGTATAGTTTTAAAATAGACTAAAAACAGCCATCAAGAAAACCTATTACGCTGATAAACTAGTTATGATTCAAAAGATTAAACCCATGATTCCAAATAGACCTATGGAATGCACAAACGATTACGTCACACCTCACTTCATTTACTAATCTACATGTTTGTGTAGACACACATGCATATGAGGAGTAATCGAATAATATAATCAAGGGTCATGGGATATGTACCTAGATGGCTTCAAAATCAGTTAATAATAATTGTTTTGATTAACATGAGAAGTAAAAAAATCATGTTCATTGATAGCAAAGCACATAATTGAAACAGGGGACAGAATTGGCGTCAATGCAGCTTTTAAAACGTTGTATAGAAATTGTCAAGGGCAGATTCTCAGGTTTATAGAAGCCTTGGTTATTCGTAGATTTACCCCCCCACCCACCTCTGTGTGCACAAAAACAATTCGTCATAACCTTGGATTTGCCCTGGTAATTTTACAACCTAGGATAATACAACAACTTATTCTTTCTATACGATATTAATTTTTCCCTCTCCTTTATTATAATTATCACTTTTAATAAAAGTAATCTATTTGTAATATCCCAATAAGTAGACAATTTAAATGTTCTGACGTTTAGTAACTCAATGTAGGTCACTTCTTCAGAGGATAAATAAACAAATTAAATTAATACAAGTTTAAATAGTGTAAAGGAACAAAACAAGAATATATTATTTTTATTAATAACAATCTACTTAATTCTCAATTTATCTAAAATTATCAAGTTAAACCTTGATAATGACACCTTTTATCCGAAGGGGTTTTTTGTGGAGATTTAGTATTTTCGTAGTTGAAAGCGTTAGTCAATTGAAGCTAGACTACCAGGGAAAACCTGGAAGCACTAGACGGCCGTTTCGCCCTATTGTAGAACGGCCGTCCAGTGCTTCCAGATTTTTCCTGATGGTCTAGCTTCAATTGACTTACGCTTTCAACTACAAAAGTTATCACTTTGTTTACTCGAACCTTCATTAATTTTCATGTAAAATGCCTTGAGAAGTATATATGTGACTAGAATTTTTGAAATGTATAACGCAAATACATCACATTTTTCAGATCAACGCCGTTTTTTCATTGTTCTATCGAAGTTTATAAAAGGGACTAATTGCTTTAAATCTTAAGAAGACCAAGCCTAAAAAGGCGACTAATGAAATATTGCGTAATATTCAAGGTATGTTGATTACATGTTTATTGTATGCAATAATCAGCAACATACAGCCTACCTGTAGTTTATATACACTATTGGTTCAGAATTAGAATTTCCCATAGATGAACCCTCCGTATTCACCAATTCAATTTGATTTCCATATGTTTGCTTCGGTTTTCGCACAATAATAATAGAAATACTCATCGAGCGAAGGCAGTGAATAGGACTTCCCTGATATGTATAATTTTGCAAATGGTAGCTACATTTCGTATAAACAAATTCCCATTCACAGTAAAAAGGCACAATTTTCTTTTCCATTTAGTATGATTATTCACTCTGCTTGAGTTTTTATTGTTTTATATTTTTCGAAAAAATCCTTTACATATATTTCGGTTAGTGCGATCAGGTTGTTATTATGAAAGCAATTGTCTTGTTCGATTATTGATTAGATTTGCTTAATGCCTATAGGATTGACATGTTATTTTCCCCGTCCCGACCGTTGCTGCTACCTTGACGTGGTGATCGTGCTTGCCTATCGTGATGAACCAATCGAGCTATACTGGCTGGAACAATCGTTCCTCAAGGTCCTACCATGTCAGTCAGGTCGGATGAAGAGCGGTAAGACTAAAAGCGGCAAACCCAAGGTCCGAAGGCGAAGTCGTACTGCTGACTGTACAGAGGTGTGACAGCAGTAAGGTGTTTCCTCCAGACAACCAGCATAACAGCGCTGCTGCCCTCAAGGAGGGGTGGGGTTAGAAAAGGTCGACCCTAAAAATGCACACCTCGCCTTATCCCACGGATATCCGTCTCCGGCGGTAAGGTCCCAACAAGTACGGAGCTAACACGTCAAAAATCCCCCACAAAAAGGCCGTATGTGGCCGACCTCAAGCAGTTGTCCCTTGGGCACTGCGGTCACACTCTCAGGTCATTAAAATCACTCCTAACCCAATTTCCTTTTCAGGTACCCCTAGAAGAACCCTTCCACGGTATGGGAAACCGGGAAGTGATAACTGCCCTCACACCTCTAACAGCAATCAAGATCACTGTATTCATAATCAAGCTCCTCCTCTGAATTATTTTCCCCGTCATCAGTAAACAATAATTGAAACCCTAACTCCGATTAATCGACAAGCTACGTTCATGCCCAGTGTCTAATCAGATAATGAAGTTTGCAAGTGCATCTCTTCTCTATTTTATTCTGCTTTGTTGCATAACTCAATTCATACTATCCAGATTAATTTCTTAATCACACACACCATCATAAATGATAAAATGCACTATATGCATAACTACACCATCAATTAAAAGGAAACTTAATAGCACGTCCGTAATTAATTAACAATAAATTGAGAAAAGTAAAGTGTACAATAATACCATTTTGTGTTCCAAACCAAAGACTTCCATTAGTTATACAATAAACATATTGACACTAATTCTTCACAAAATAAATCGACAAGTTACAGCTTTCTCGATATTCGTCTCGTAATAGATAAAAAATACTTCTATGAATCCGGTGTTCATCTTATTGTACTAACGAGGTATGGCAACTTGGACCGATACATATATATGCCTGGTCCTATGTTGTGACTGAGATAAAAATGTTTATACTAATTTTTTTAGCATACCTCAGCTAATTTCTTGTTATCAATTACTAATGAATATAATATCATTATTGCCCGATAGAAAACCAACTTACAAATATAGTTCTCTCTTTCTGTGATATTCTTCCTCAGACTGATAAATGTAATCGTCAAATGCCTACACCTCCATGGATGATTAGTGACAATGAATCATTAAGAGATTCTGATGAATTTGATTCTGATCACAATAAAAAAGTACGTACTCCCGGTGTGAACAATCAACGTCCATGTGTTGATAATTGGAAAGCAGAAGTGTCTAATGCTGAACCATTAACTGAGGTAAATTTTACTTTTATTTCCTTTCTGTTAAATTTTGAAACTTCAAATATTGAAAATAGTTTCGTAATTAAAAGAATCTTAAGCATTCAGTTCCCAACTATTTCGTAGTCACCAAACTTCTTTCATTATTGAATTCAAAATAAGAAAACAAAACATGTGGATAGCCATTCAGGACAGTGCTTAAATATTCGTTAACCAAGTACGTGCTTTGTACGGTAATCGGTAATTGCTCAGTCGATCATTCATAATGTACAACCATGTATGTATGTGCGTCAGTTCAAGCTGACATACCCCATTAGCACAGAGATAAAATTATTACACCAAACTCCACAATAATACAGGTAGTTACAATATCAATGGTAATAGAAAAGATTAGGCGTCGAACATGTGATCCTAGAAGAAAATAAATAAATGGAGTAAGAACACAAACAAAACTATGAGAAATTTAGAAGATCATAATATGGTGTAAGACGGAGAATGGATGGACCTCCACCATTGCAAACAATCTTAAGCCATGTCATTCAAAGTCTTTAACCATTGTTTTATGATAATCACGTGGACAGTAACCAAGTAGTGTACACCTGTAAACATGACTCAGTCAAACTGCTAATGATTTCTTGAATTGATGCCACGTTTTTTAATGACCGCCACTACATTTTTCAACCTACTGCTACACCAGAAAATATCATGCGTTCAGGTAGGCGTTGTATTCCGATATTAGGAAGCCTGGTATTTGTAGTCATCATTTGTTAATAAGTGTGTCACGGATTGATCTCTGTCGAGATGCGCCCTGCTTATGAGTCCCATAATATGGTGTAAATGTCATCCAGTAATGCTTTTTAGTTCTGTGTGCTTGTCTAGCTAATGATAATCTGTTTATATAAACTAAAAACTTCACAACCCCAATCACTCTCCCATAATAATAACCATTTGGTCGACTAAAGATTACAATAGCATTGCATTTTAAGACCTGTTTATTCTTTCTCTACCTTTACAAATAGTATCCCATAAAAATGTACTATGCATTACTTTTGTTTTATTTTATAGACTAATAAAGGTCATCGTTTATTACAAAAACTTGGTTGGAAACCTGGTGATAAACTAGGACGAAATAGTAAAGGTCTAATTACACCAGTCAACTGTAAAGAAGATAGTCATTCTTTTGCAATATAATCAAAACACCCCCTTATTTAAGTTTTCTTATCATTGAATAAAAAATAAAAAGAATTCAGCAAAGAAAATTTTCTTTTCAACGAAATCATTTCCTCATCATGTTCATTGGTATTTATATTTGTTCTATGGTAACTATGTCTATAGAAAGATAGGCAAAAGTGCTTCATAAATTGCTTCGAGACTTTTATTATCAAATGAGGATTACTTAATAATCAAGGGGTAAAGAAAGAATATGCTGCTCAATGTTTGTATCATTAAATAGTATGCAATTCTAATGTTTGTATCCATAACCCTCATAGTGATAATTATCATGTGCTCACTAGTAACTAATTTCGTGTGGGAATGCTCAGAGTTTTAAATGAGAAGTCGTGACCAATAGAGTTAATCCATGTCTAGTAGAGACAGGTATCTATCTCTGTACAATGGAAGATGGTCTTACAATTTAGTTTTTACATATTTCATAATGTTCTTCAATAGATATTTACTTATTTATGTATATACTGTTGTTCATGTGTCTTTTGTCCAAGATTCTATCAAAATAGTCTGTGATTGTTTTTCTGTTTGTTTCTTTTTTCACTGTTGAATTTTTTTGTTTTTATTCGGGTATTTTTTTTTCTTTTTTTTGTAATCCTATTGAAATCAATAATTTGTTGTTTTTTTTTGTTGTTGAATAAATTATTATTTCTGATGATGATGGTGTTGTTGTGCATTAAGTCTTACTTGATATAGAAATTTTCTTCAGAATGATTATGGAAAAAAAGGAAACTTGATTAAAGTATTTGGTCACTAACAAAAGTTATCTATCAGTATAGGGTTGTAGAGATTAAGTTTTGGATTGAAATCATGAATCGATTGATGTTAGAACACTATTAAAAACCTGGAAGCACTGGATGGCCTTTTTTTTGTATCCATAATCCCATACTGATAATTATCATGGCGCACATGGGCTCCAGTATCCTGAAGGACAAAATGGCACATGAATCAATCGTTGGTCACCGGCTACCATGGGACTGCATCTCTTCACGATGCTCCACTGTCTTTTGGATTAAACCTTTCGGTCAAAGGATCCAGATGTGGCCTACTAAGAAAACCACCTGCTTCAGTTTGGGCACCTGAGCAGTATCACTGGCCTCACACAAATCTCATTTGATTTTTCTGGCGCATATGTATCTGTTACCCCTTTATACCAATATTTATGTGTTCAAATAAATAAATAAACACAAGTGACTAGCTTCGTGAGGAAATTCTCAGAGTTTTAGTGAGAAGCTGTGAACATCAGAGCTAATCCATGTCAAGTAGAGACAGGTATCTATCTCAGTACAATGGAAGATGGTTTTACAATTTCGTGGATTGGTTGAGTTTAGACATTAACACCGTTGGGTATCGGCTGAGTGGTTTGGAGGTTAAGCGTTCGAAACCGAAGGTCCTGAGTTCGAATTCTGCATGCGGGATCGCGGTTGCGCACTGTTGAGGAGTTCCAGAATAGGACGAAACGGCCGTCCAGTGCTTTCAGGTTTTCATTGGTGGTCTAACATCGATCGATTCATGATCTTAATCAAAAAGTTATCCATCTGAGCTGTAAAAGTTTGCCATTAGTTTATCTATCAAAATTACAACTTGGTACAGTCGACAAAATGATAAAATATTCTGTTTATGGCTAATTTCAGTCTCCGTTTCAACATAAAACATGAGAAGATGGTTTCATCCAACGTTCTGTATATAGAAAGCCGACATGGACGAGACAATATCTTAATTTCCATATTCACTGCCCAATTCATTACAAACGTGGTTTAATAAAAGGCTTGTTCAATAGAATCAATTTGTGCTAGAGATACTATTGAAGTAGAAACGAAGCTTTTAACTGATACGTTAATGAATAATGGTTATTCATAAACCGCTGGAAGGGTTGCAATACGATTAGACCTATTACGCTTTTGGCACCCAGAAAGCGAGTTTATATTACATTACCATTTAAGAGTGACTCAAATAGTCTCATGTTCAAACGGAGACTTAAATTAGGCATAAACAGGACATTTTATGCAGCTCAACTTGTTATCATAACGAAGTTTACGTTGATAGTTCCCTAACCTCAATGTGTGAAGCCAGAGACTTTGTCGAGGTCGTATTAATATCAGCTCACTGCATTATTGGATGCATGGCTCAGAATAGGTCACACTGTCCCAGGTTTATTCTCTCGTTATCTCTTTCTAGATTTTTTGCTCGAGCATTTCATAAAAACTTTACGTCATATCAAACGATATTCTCGTGTTCAATTCCTCCTACTGTTCCCGCTTCCATTATTCTGACTCATTCATTCTTTTTGTGTTAATGTTGTACGACAATTTTGATTAAAGCACATTTTTATGAGACTCTACATTTATTTCTACTAATTTCACTAACTAATTATCTTGCATTGTTTACTGAGTAAGCATAGTTGTATGTGAGGTATGAAAAGTGCCTACTCTTCTTACCTGTGTATATGTATCCATATATCAATCAACCTGTTATTGTATTAAACATATTTAGGTCATTCACGTAGTTCACTCAAAGTAGATGGTAACCACACAATACTTACTTACGCCTGTTACACCTCGTGGAGGAGCATAGGCCGCCCACCACCATTCTCCGCCCAACTCTGTCCTGGGCAATCTTTTCTAGTTGTTATTCATCTTTTTCATATGTGCTTATTCCTTCAACTCCCAGGGAAGAGTTTAAATGGTCTAAATTATTTTTTTCCGGTTAGCGTTCTTTTAGCGAGTTAGTTTTTCTACGGGATGGGGTCGCTAACCCCATGCCCAGCCCTCCTCCTTTACCCGGGCTTGGGACCGGCAGTGACTCTAAAAGAGCTGCAGGCGGAGTGAAAAATAAGATAAACGACATATTGATGTCTGTTTCGATTAGCTCATTGTCAACATCCACACACGATTTCATAAATATCCAATGAATATTTGTTCTAAACCGATTTTATTCACCTAGGAAGCAGATAATACCACTTCACATATAATTAACACATTTTCTTTCTATAAATACCAGGGAATCTAGTTGATATGCTAATCAATATACACATTTGGCTTCCATCATCTAATTCGTCCTTCCATTTTCAAATCTTCAAATAGTCATTCTGTTAAAACTTGATTTAGAGACTGTATAAAAGAGTAATGCTTTAGATGATTATCAAAGTAGACTTACATCGAATCATAGTATACAATAAGAAATCTATACACTACATTCAACAATGTTGTGTAAGCTATATTTGTTACACAGTATTCTGGAACTCAAAACAAATGTCAATCGACATCAAGATCAGAATTTTCAATACGAATGTCAAGACAGTTTTGCTATATGGAGTAGAAACTTGATCAACAACGAAAGCGATCATCCAGAAGATACAAAAGTCTATCAACAGTTGTCTACGCAAGATACTTCGGATCCGTTTGCTAGACACTATCAGCAACAAGCTACTGTGAGAGACAACAAACCAGATTTCAGTGGAGGAAGAAGCACTGGAAGTGGATATGACACATCGAGAAAATCACCCAACTGCATCACAAAACAAGTCCTCATATGGAATCCTGAAGGCCAAAGGGGAAGAGGAAGACCAAAGAACACATTATACCGAAAAATGGAGACAGACATGAGAAGAATGAACAAACAATGGATAGAACTAGAAGGGAAGGCCCAGGAGAGAGTGGGTTTGAGAATGCTGGTGGGCGGCCTATGCTCCATTGGGAGTAACAGGCGTAAGTAACTAAGTAATTCTATACAACTAAATCAGTCCATTTAACTTGTTTATTTACTGATCTAAATAAACTTTTCCCATCTTAAGTTGATCATTTTATTCAGTCGATTATTTTATGACAATGTTAGGCTCATCGAGAGTATATACATGTACAAAGACTACTTTCTTTAGAGTTCACTCTTAAACTACATCTATAATACAAGAGGTATGCATTTTGTCTCATATATTGAATTGAATAAAGCGATACACAAAATTTATTGGTTTAATCTGTTTGCCTGAATAATACATTCATAATCCATAGACTCTTTCTATGAATTCTCTGTGTAGTTCTCTAGGAAAATTTCTACTTCACCAACACCCATTAATTCTTACTTTTTATCAATCAAGTTAATCAGTAGTAAAGATGCTGTCAAGGTAAGTCAAAATATCTCACTATAGAAATCGAATCCAAGTCTTAAATGAATAAATGACGGTTCTTGTTAGTCACAATTGATTGACCACTGGGTGGTGATCAATGTCATGCGTGTCAAGTCCTTCTTAGTGCTGATCGAATGCTATCGATCAAGTTGCAATGTGACCACTAGTCTAGTTGGCTCGACACTGCGTGAATAATGTTGAGATAAGATGATGGTTGGAGGTGGTCAACCGGAAACCCTCGACCCGGATTTCATGCTACTTGGCACTCGTCAGCAAGGTGTGCCTGTAATCTTGAAGGAACTGGTGCTCCCTGACGGATTCGATCCCGTGTCACTCAGCTTCATAGTCAGAGACGTTACCACTGAGCTACTTGGGCGGCGATTGACTTCCTGTAGGACTGAGATCTAATTACAATTGATTGACACCACTAGGTGGTGATCAATGTCATGTGTGTCAAGTTCTTCTTGTTCTTGTTGGTCTTAACAGTTTAAAACCTACCAAATAAATAAATAAAGTGTAGTTTTTAAATAATCTTAATCGTCATATAAACAACAACCAATCAGAATAACAAAGTTCTTAATTTTCCACATTTTTCACTCTTCCCTTAAATAATGTGCATACACCTTTTGTATATTGGTAAATCTATCGATTTCATTATTTGTGATGGGAATCAAGGTCATGATTTCATTACGTTACGTTGATTGGATCACTAAATAGGCAGACTGTGCACAATGACTATCGATGAAATTATACAGTTATTTTGTAAATCCTTCCTTAGTCTAATAACATATAATGATGTATTCTGTAATTCCTCAAAGAATTTTATCCTATTTTATTGTATTGAATATAATTTACATTATCATTGTATCTAGTAATCATTATTCATCACCTAATATGTTATGTCCAAGTGGTTATTGGCCAGCTAAAGTAAATTTAACTGGTGGTCTATATAAAACTGATCGAACATTTGAGCTACCCTATCTATCTAATGCTAAAGTACCTATATGTCAATTTTGCCCAAATGTAGGCTGTTTTATTGTACGTATACCAACAGTAGAAACAAAGAAAAGTTCATCATCATCAGTAAATATTGCCAAAACAACACAATCCTCCTTATCATCATCATCGCCTACGGCTCCTACTATTTCAACCACTCTATCACCTATCAATGAAACAGATCTAACTTCTATGAATAGTAATAATATAACAGGAATCAATGATTTCAATGAAACCTTGGAACAAATGAATTCAACTATACATGATGTATTATATATGTCATGTGATCATTGGAATAATCTACCATCACCATCAGATATCATTAGTTATTTAGATTGTGTTATGATTGGTAATAATGATCAATTTTATTTATTTATATATGAACCAAGATTTCAAGAATTTCAATTACCAGCAGTAGATTGTATTGATGCAGATTTTTTATCATGGATTAAAAATGATAATGAATTATTAGGTTTAGAATTAGGATTTCGTATGAAAACAATACCACCATTTTTATTTCGTTATTATCAACGTATCATGCAAGTAAGTTAGTAGTATATACATATATATATACCATAAAATTTATGGCTTGATAAGTTGCTACTTACTTACTTACTTATATCTGTTACCCCCGCCCCGTGGAGGAGTATAGGCCATCCAATAGTATTCTCCATTCAACTCTGTCCTGGGCAATCCTCTCCAGTTCTTTCCAGTTAACATTCACCATTTTCATATCAAAGTAATGTGTTCTTCGGCCTTTCTCTTTTTCGCTTCTCTTCACGATTCCAAGTTAGGGATTGAGACGTGATGCACATTGGTGATTTCCTTAATGTATGTCCGATCCACTTCCAACGTCTTTTCCTTATTTCCTCTTCAGCTGGAAGCTGGTTTGTCCTCTCCCATAGAACGCTGTTGCTGATAGTATCCGGCCAGTGGATGTTGAGTATTTTGCGTAGACAACTGTTTATAAATACTTGTACCTTCCTGATGATGGTCGTAGTAGTTCTCCACGTTTCAGCCCCATACAGTAGGACTGTCTTGACGTTCGTATTGAAGATTCTGACTTTGAAATTAGTTGAGAGTTGTTTTGAGTTCCATATGTTCTTCAATTGTAGAAATGCTGCCCTTGCTTTGCCAATCCTCGCCTTTACATCTGCATCCGATCCTCCTTGTTTATCAACGATGCTCCCCAGGTACTTGAATGTTTCCACCTCTTCCAGAGTTTCGCCATTAAGTGTGATTGGGTTGGTGTTCTCCGTGTTGCATTTAAGAATCTTGCTTTTTCCTTTGTGAATGTGGAGACCTATCGATGCGGAGGCTGCTGCTACATTTGCTGTCTTCATCTGCATTTGGTCGTGTGTATGAGAGAGGAGGGCTAGGTCATCTGCGAAGTCCAAATCATCTAATTGATTCTGAGCTGTCCATTGTATTCCGTATTTCCCTTCAGATGTCGAATTCTTCATAATCCAGTCAATCACTAGAAGGAAGAGGAATGGGGAGAGTAGACAGCCTTGTCTGACTCCGGTCCTTACTGGAAATGCACCTGTCAGCTGTCCTGAATGTTTAGAAGAGAAAATGCTATGGCAGTGAATTATACATCAAAAGAAAGCTAATGATCTGTAGAATAGGCTAGGGGCAAAAGTAAATGTTACAGTTTTACAAGCTTTGAATTAAATGAATTAAAGTCCCAAAAATAGCTTCCGTAATTTGTTAAGGCTTTTTGTTTTGCGGTTCACATCATCTTCCCCCTTGATAAAAAAAAGTTATGTTATCACTGCCATTGACTGAGTGCATAAAGGACACTGGATGGTGTTGTGGTCGTGAACGATTGGGTTAACTGGAATAAACAGAAAAAAAAGAAAAGCGGTTAGTCACTAATTACAAACAGTAGGTAGGATATCATCATCGATATTTCCCCCCCCCAAAAAAAAAGCTCCTTTCTTGGTGTCCACCTGCATGATATCAGGTCCTTTGGATTTCCGTCGCGATCTCCTAATAGGAGGATTTTATTGAGGTTTCACAGTCTTCTTAGTTGTTGAATCTCCTATGCTGAAACTGTCCAAGAAAATTTCCCACATTGATCACGGTTTCTCGGCTTTCTGTGTAGGTGAGTATCGGGAACGACGCTAGATTCTCCGCTTCGCCCCATGATAGTGATTACATTGAGTTCCGATTTTTCTCACAACTATTATGGGAGCAGCCCAGTTTGAGTAATTCACTGGCTGAATGACACCTAGTGCTTCAAACCCGTCATGCTTCACTATATCGCCTGAAACATTTCGAGCAACATGTTTTGTTGGTCGGATGGGTGGGCACACTTACTCCATGTGTTCTTGGAGATCAGTGTAATGTCGGAAGCAGTGTCCAACTGAAGAAGAATAGGTTTTTCATTCACAATAAGTTCACATACTTCCGTTTACTTTGAAATCCAACTTTAAATGTTGCAAACGTGCTTTTGACTTGACTCTGTGACTGTCGCTTCGCCTTTACGCCACGATGTTTGGACTGACGTTTATCTGAGGAGCAGTGACCTTCTTTATGACCAATGCGACGACATTGGCGGAATTTGTGGTTCTTGAATGGGCATAACTTCACAAGATGCCATGATCCGCAGAACCAACATGGTGATGGTGGTTTACTAAAAGATTGCTGTGTGTTCGCCGTCTTTTGTTTGGAAGATTTGGAAGATCTGCATGCATTTATTGAAGCAAAGTCGGAAGTCTTTACCTTTTGCTGTACCATCGTGGTATCATGTTTAAGATTTAACAACCGTTGACACTCGGTTGTGACCATTTGCAGAGTCATGTTAGGCTCCTGCTCAATGCGCGATAGAATTCTGGTACGTATATCCATATCTTCCGGATTCTTTAGTCCACAGATGAAAATCAAACATTTAAATTGATCTGCTGTAATTTCATTTATTTTAAAACGTTCGCATTCTTTATTTACTTGTCCAGCGTATGTGAGATAATCATCAGATAAGGATTTAGATATTTGAAAACACTGATAACGGATGCTGAATAATGAGGATTGTTCACCAAAAATTTTGGACAAGTTTTGAACTGTCTCATTAAAAGATAAATCTCGCGGATTTTGTGGCAAAATGAAATTAACATATTTGTTATATTCAAGTATTCCGAGTCTTCTCAGGAGTAGGCGAACTTTTGCTGCATCATCAAGATTTGAGCACTCAACACGAAATGTGTCTTCAAAACGACGAAACCAGGAATCGAAAATAATACCAAAATCGGGATCATAATTGGATTCACAAATAGAATTTGCCTTGCTGTCATATTTATCTGACTGATAATTCGAAGATGAATGAAATGAGAGCTTCTGCACCAATGCATCTAAAAGCTTCATTTGGTTTGCATCATTCTGAGCTTGCTGAATTTGTAGAATAGTTTTAAGGTCGTCCAAAGAAACAGACATTTTTGATTTGGATCAATCAATATTTTTTTTTAAATCTCCGTCGCCACTTTTGTTACGTCCTTGAATCTGTCTACCCACTTTAGTGCCGAGTATAACTTGTCTAATGTAGATTAAGACCTTGACCCGATAGACTGACTGGTTTAACCTTGAGGCTAGTATGCGTGAGTTCGAACTATTCCATCCCTGATTGGCTAGCAAGCACGCGCAAGAGAGAGAAGACAAAGACAGCTGGAACGCTCATCACTTTATTACAACCCCGATATAGCACTCGAATTTCCAATTCAGATTAGGGTGAAAAGTTACATGAATAAATAGATGAATAACCTGACCACAACGTACAATAATAAGGAAAAACAATTGTGTCCAAAACTGGGGGATTGTAGTACAAAATAGAGTAAAAAAGGGTACGTCTAAATTACAATAGCTTTAGAAGAGAAAATGCTATGGCAGTGAATTATACATCAAAAGAAAGCTAATGATCTGTAGAATAGGCTAGGGGCAAAAGTAAATGTTACAGTTTTACAAGCTTTGAATTAAATGAATTAACGTCCCAAAAATAGCTTCCGTAATTTGTTAAGGATTCTTGTTTCGCGGTTCACATCACTCTCGAAATGCTCGCACATGGCCACGCGTATATAGCCTCTGCCAGGTAAGTCCTATTCACTGCTTTCTCGTGGCGGGAATATTGTTTGCAAAATTAAGAGGACGAAAAGTGAATGTTCGATGCTTTCACCGGGTTGGTGGACACGGAAATTCGACCTGGGGGAGTTGGAAAACCCTGATTCCAAACCAGTGGTGTAGATGGGCTCCAGTATCCTGAAGGAACACATGGTGTATGGATCAATTGTAGGTCACCGACTACCATGGGACTGCTCCATTGCCTTGTGCATTAGACGTTTAGGTTAAAGGCTCTGGGCTTAGCCCCCTAAGTAAACCACCCGCTTCAATTTTGGCATCTGGGCAGTATCACAGTACTCACACAAATCGAATGAGATTTGTGTGGCGTATATATATCTGGTGCCTTTTTGTAATAATATTTACGTGTGTAAATAAATAAATAAAATAGTAATACAAAAATGAACAATACCAAAATAGTAATACTTTAATGAAATGTGAATTCATAATCGAAATATTTCATCAAATTTAACTCAATTGTATTTTACTCTGAGTTGATTAGCTTCATTACAAACATTTGATTGTCCTTCTAGATAACTTTACTAACAAGATAAATTTTAGATAGAAGTGAACCATGAAATGTTTGCTACTAGTAGTCACTTGTTTTTTCCATTTTGAATTGGATTGGTTGTGATCGATACTTACTCCTGTGTTATAACGTGTGACTGCGTGCGTGCCCAGTTTGATATATGAACGTGCTGATTCCCGCCAATCAGAGAAGAGCGAATTATCGATTGGGACAGTGACACACGAAAACCATACGAGTAGTCTAGATTGCGCATCGACCCACCTATCTGCCTAGCCCAGCCAATTAAGTCCAGAACACCAATAACAACCTCTGCAATATGAATCATTATTCTCAAACATACTAAGTATATATACCAATAAAACAGACCACATCGTACCATAAAATATAAAATAACATTTGTACAAGTTTTGGCCAAATGTGGTTGTGAGTGGGGAGGACAGTAGTCAATAGACTAGGGATAACTCAAGAATGGTAAATCGTATAATTATAGTCCATAGGTCAAAATAAAGCTTATGATAAGAGGAATACAAATATGAATAGTTTAGTTACTTAAAAATTATACAATATTTTCACAGTTGAAAGCATTAGTCAGTTGAAGCTAGACCACCATCGAAAACCTGGAAGCACTGAACGGCCGTTTCGTCCCATTGTGGGACTCATCAGCAGTGCGAATCCACAATCCCACATTCACGAGATTCGAACGCAGGACCTACCAGTCTCGAGTCAAAGCTCTTAACCTACAGACCACTGAGCCGGTTCGAATCTCGCGAGTGCAGGTTCGTGGATGCGCAGTGCTGAAGAGTCCCATAATAATACAAAACGGCCGTCCAGTGCTTCCAGGTTTTCGATGGTGGCCGAGCTTCAACTGTGAAAATACTAAATTCTCCACGAAACCCCCTCTGATCAATTATACAATAGGAAGTATACAAATGACATTGGTCCATAAATAGATCTCAAAAGTTACCATTCACAATTCTTTTCGGGATACAACACCCTGCCATTATTATCACATATGTTTTGTTTCTTAATTACTTCAGTTAACTCAATATATATGTATTGATGGAAGAAGTTTAATAAATAATTCTATACCATTTGAAGATACAGAACGCTTTGCTAGTAATAAATTAACTCAAGTTGTATTTCGTTCGTCAACTGGATTAAAAAGAGAACGTTTACCACCAAAACCACTTGATATTCATCATACAACAGAATTTCAAAGTGATGAAGAAGTTCAACCATGTCCATTTATTGTTCAACATAAACCAGCTAATATTACATTAAATGTCGATTGTCAATTTTCACCAGGTGTAAGTTATTTATTTCTGTTAGTAATCAGTTCATTTGTGTTGATTGTTTGAATTTTCCCATAGATATTAAAGATTGCAATCGATTAGTCTCTTTTTTTGAAACATTAACTCTAGGATGAATGCACATCCAACTGATGAACCCCAACTAGGACGAAGTGTGCGTCCTGGATTCTACGGCTAGTCACCAGCCATCTCTGCTTATAATGCAAGTAAATAGGTTGTTTTTTAGGGCGTTCTGTTCCCTGAGCTGGATAATTGAATTTTTAAGCTTTCACTGTCTTTCTTTGCAGTATCATTAGCATATTTTTTTAAAACGATGTGTTATTAAGATGTTTCTACAACTGACTAGCTGCGTGCTCTGCTCACAGCCAAAAACACTTAAATTCACATCCTGAGCTACAACAGTTTGTTGAATTTAATGGAATGATAATAGTTAAGGTTTAAACAGCTCAATAGGAAAAAGTACTAACTGTGACATTGAGAGACATGGATGTTACTGTAAACGTCGATTCCTCTTCATTTGATTCCAATAGATGATATCCCGTTTAATGAGTGTTTAAGTAGGTCAATTCTCCTGGTAGTACTGTGAGTTTACTCGAGAATATTTATAAGACAGAATACCAGTTGTTGAGATAGTGTATTGTTAATAATAAATGAAATTTACAAGCACGCAAAAGACAAGCACACTGAGAAGCGAGAGTGTAAGAGGTAACTAATCTTACCTTACCTAAGAACAAATCAAGTCATAATTACATTCATGAATGAACTTTTATTTCCCTGTTGTTTTGCAAAGTGAACAGAAGTATTTATTCATAATTCATGACATTAGCTAGTGAACCATTTACTTCTCGTCTAAGTTCTAGTCATACTAATATTTTAATTCATTAGTCGATCTAATCTAGACCACCATTGAAAACATAGAAGCACTGGACGGCCGTTTTGTCCTAGTATGAGACTCCTCAGTAGTGCATATTCACGACACTCTATGTAGGACTCGAATCCAGGACCTCTGGAATCGCATGCGAACGCTCAACCTATAGACCACTGAGACGGCATCCAACGGCGTTATTGTCTAACTTTAATCGACCAAAGTCGTATTAAACAATTTAGAATAACAGTTATTTGAATATTTTAATGAATCAAATCCCACCATAGTACCATACTGGTTTATTAATAAAGAACTGACTTTTCATTTACTTTTAACTGCTCAATAACAAACTCAGTGAATTTCAATGTTATGTCACTTTCACTAATGGATAAATTTTAAGTTGACATACAGAGATTGACACCAATCAATACCAGACAAATTCGTATTGAATACAACTCCATGATCCATCAGTGTGAACATTTCAGTGTTACAGAAGATCAACCGTTAACCGAAAACCCCAGTTGTTAAGTTTCCAATTTTGCTACTAGGTGATACCGGTTATAATTCAAAAAAATATCACAGTTTCTATATGACAGCGGATACGTTTTGGTGACGAGTCCCACTTAGTCCGAAACCTAAGTCAGAGTTGGTCAATGGTTCACGTTGATCGACTTTAACCAAATAATACCAAATTTATCAAAGCATCCAAATAACAACATACAGGTGGTTGATTTGAATACGACAATTGTGTTTTTCCTTTTTGCTTACCACAGTTATAATAAATAACTGTGATTACAATTGCATTCGTAACATACTGTACATCATTTGTTAAAATAAATTTATTTTCAAAATTAGGGTTTACCAACTACATCGGATAAAGTTAGCTCACATCAAGCATTAGAACGTTGCCCATTTCGTCGACTAACAACAAATACATTACAGACAAAACGAAGAAAGACTAATAATCCAATGGAAGAAGAGATATATTTACCACCTTCTGCATTATCAGCTTGTTTATTAATTGTTGTACTATTATTAACAATTGGTATAATTATTGCATTTTGTATAATTAATCATGAAAAATTAATGTTATGTAAATCACGTAGTAGAAAACGACGTGAACGAGAAGCTGCACTTGCACAAGAAATGGATGAAAAAGCTGCTAAAGAAGCTGCAGCCGCCGCTGCTGCAGCAGAAGCTGAACGACAACAACAACAACAACAAGCATCAACAATACGACATCCTATTTATGCTAGATATGGTATGATACCACCAAATATGGGTGGTGCATTCGGTGCATTTGCTCCAACATATCAAACAATGACAGTTAACATGAATATACCAAGTAATGTGGTAAGACAAAATCAAGGATTTAATGGACCAATGTAAAATACACGAAGGAACTAACAGACAGTTTCCAACCAATAATCACTTAGATTTCCAATGTCTTGCACAGATATTCATATTAACATTATTTAGCATTCTTAACTCATTTATTGTAAAATACAAAATACTTAAAATATACCTGATATGACCTAGTTGTTACATGCATAATGATGTTAATTGTTTATTATTCAATAACTAATCTATGAACGAAGAATATTCTTTTGGATAAATTTTCTTCAGTTTCTACAATTATATTATAGTTGAAATCGTGAATCAATTGAAGCTAGAACACCATAGAAAACCTGGAAGCACTGGACCTTAACACTGTTAGATGCCGGTTGGCTTAGAGGTCTAGAGGTTAAGCGCTTGCGCGCGAGACTGATAAATCCTGGGTTCGAATCTCGCGAGGTGGGATCGTAGATGCGCACTACCGAGGAGTTCCACAATGGGACGAAACAGCCGTCCAGTGCTTCCAGGTTTTCCATGGTGGTCTAGCTTCAATTGACTCATGATCTCAACTATTGGAATTACTGAAATATCTACAAATATTATGACTAAGCATATTTGAGATGGGAACAGTAACAAAATTACAAATCAAAAGATGACATTACTGAGCCAAATAACCTATCATAAGCTGTACAAACAGTGAAAATAACATACAACCCATTAGTAGCACATGATTCTAATTAGTTTCTGTAGTCAATGATAGGAATTTCAGCTTTGGATCTAAGTTATTTTCACTTCCACAGTTCTTCTTACTCATACACATTAATTCTACTTGATTGAATTAGTGTCATCGAAATATATATTGATTGAGTTTTAGTTAGAATAACCTCTGGACTTCACTCGAAAAATGAATATTCATCACAAAGTAATTGTATTCCGATTAACGGAATTATACTCGATATAAATATTTTCTTGAAATGAATAAAGAATCCAAGCGATAATATCTGGAAGGGTATTTGTTATCCCATTTATTTATATTCGTATGTTTATTCATACCTATTTATAGCGATTCAATTACATAGTTATATAATATACCCTTGTGGGCACCGGCTTTCAGGAGAACCGGACACCATTCACATGACAACGCAAACGGTGCAGCTCAATCCTGTTTAACAGGAGAGCCAGACACCGCCCTCATGCTTAACCCGAGCAGTACAGCTCCATCCCGGCCCCACAAGAGAACCAGACCCTATATGGGTTTCAACACTACAATCTGAACAATACAGCTCAATCGTGTGGCGCAACCACACAGGTATCAAGCACCCTGGTGGACCAATAGCCATTCAATATTCGCTTATTAATAAGTGCTTCCTCTTATCTATTAAGCAAAACTTGAATAATTAATGATATCATAATGAAAAGCTGGTAGGGATCATTTGTCTCAAATTCAATGTACAAGAAGGAAGATCAATCTTAATTTCGTTTTTGTCAACTTCAACGAATCTCCGTAATTTCTATCCATTAACTTTTAAGGTGTACGTTAGTTGTATCTAGTTATTTGATTCTAATGTATTTTTCCTTGTAATAGTTACTTCATCATTAATTTGTATGCAGAGACAACTTTTCAGTTAATAAAACTGTTATTAGTAGTCTTTGAATTAAAATATATCTGATTTAGTTTGGATATACATTCAGTTCTAATTGATCATGCCCAATAAACCCTACCAAAATTCATTTTATGGAGCATCTGGGAGCTGCCCCCAAATGCCTTGGTACGACCGAGAGTGGGGAGAGTCACCTCTCCCTCTCCAAATGCTCTCATATGGCCAGCGAATATATAGCCTCTGCCAGGGAAGTCCCACTCACTGCCTTCTCGTGACGGGGGTGTTGTTCACAAAAGTGAGAGGACGAAAAGCGAATGTCCGGCGCTTTAATCGGGTTGGTGGACATGGAGGGTCCACCTAGGGGAGTTGGAAAACCCTGATTCCAAACCAGTGGTGAACATGGGCTCCAGTATCCTGAGGGAACAAATGGCGTACGAATCAACAGTTGATCACCGGCTACCATGGGACTGCATCTCCTCACGATGCTCCACTGCCTTGTGGATCAGACCTTTTGGTCAAAGGCTCCGGGTGTGGTCCCCTAAAAAAACCACCTGCTTCAGTCTGGGCACCTGGGCAGTATCACAGCCCTCACACAAATCGCATGAGATTTGTGAGGCGCACATTTATTTGGTGCTTCCATTTGGGAGCTAGAAACGAGTAGAGTTGTTGGATATGATACATAGCAATTGTTATTAGTTTTCGATTACTCCCCCCTTCTCTGCAACAAAGATATTATAAATGTACACCAAGCTTCAACGATCTAGTATAATAAGAGAATAAAATTTCTGATTGCCGCATTATGCTAATATTATACAACAATACGATCGGTGACCGGAATAATATTATCATGTCTGGATACTTGATTGATATACTGATCACACTATACCAGATACACGATTCACAACCAAATATGAAGAAAAACAGACAATATGCTACACAATACTTTATTCAGCACAAATACGAGCAGTCTACACTAAGCTTCGAATATAAATCAATACTAGGGAGAAAATTACATAATCAATAGACGGGAAGTTGTGTCGGTCTACGCTTAGTGGCCAGTAGTACTTATTTTCACTAGCCACAAATTGCGATCGCATCTAGGCTTTGACACTTTTCATGAAACGAAACGAGAATCAGAGTTCGTGGTGTACAAATTTGTCTGAGTATGAAACAAAAGATCTTAGTGAAGTTAGGGAACCAGGATATGTATCACACAGGTTTCCTACCGTTAGTAGAATTCTTTACAATGTACAAACACTGAATTTCTTGTCGGACTAAAACCTACGTATTTGACTTACAAGTTTAATTCACACAACAATGTAGCAGTTAAATAGAACAAGTTAATTTACCTTTAAAATCCCAGTCAAGCTTATCTAAATTTTATATCAAATAAACTACTTTTTATCGACCGAAATAGACCTTTATAAGAAGTGTCATGGCTTTGTGAAGAAAGAGAACAAAACTATTTTTGATCATAACATAGACAAGAAGTCGTCTATAGAACTTCATGTTTAGCAATTATAACAGTTAATACTCTTTCCTTATTTTACGTCCTGTCTTGCTAATTCTCTTTTTTACTATGATGTAAAATACATCATTGGATATCACATTGTCTACTTATGATAATAAAATTTAACATAATTCCAAATTAGATTAATATCATGAATAAATCAATGTAAGACCACCATTGAAAACCCGGAAGCAATGAAAGGCCGTTTCGTCCTAGTATAGGACTCCTCAGACAATGGAGGACGGTCACGCAATATTGTGGATCGGTTTAAGTTAGACATTAACATCGTTGGGTGCTGGCTCAGTGGTCTACAGGTTAAGCATTCGCGGGAGAGACCAGTCCTGCGTTCGAATCCCGTGTGCGGGATAGTGGCTCCGCGCCATTGAGGGGTGTCCTACTAGGACGAAACGACCATCCAGTTCTTTCAGATTTTAAATAGTGGTCTAACACTGATCCATTCATGATACTAATCTACGCTTAACAATCTCTACAGCCCGTTACTGATGATTTTAAATAAGCATAAAACATTATCTCAAGTTATGTAACATATATTTCTTCCAACAAACGATAGAAATATATTAACCGCGATCGAATTCAGTTAATAACCACATTCATCACCATCATGATCAGGTTGTTTTTCTTCTTTTAATTTAATTAAATCATCAATTCGTAGAATAGTGATAGCGGCTTCGGTAGCGAATTTCAAACTTTTAATTTTAGAGACAAGTGGTTCAAAAACACCTATTTCTTTGCAGTCAGCTACATATTGATTATTTAAGTCTAATCCCCACCTGAAAAGATTAAAAATAAAAGGGATAAAAAATGTCAGTCTATGAAAGAATAGAACAAATTGTGAAAGTCAGTAAGGTATAACCTGACTGATGAAACTTGGCAAGATTGTTAGTGAAAGTTGTAGTGAATCATATCACCTGTAACATAATAACACTTTCATGTGTTAAAAGGCTAAAGTAAGGGAGTAGCTAATAATAAAACGTCTAAATATATGCACAATCAACTTAGAAATAAGGAACAAAATTTATATATTCTGGACTTAACTAACTGGGCTAGGTAGTAGCATGACTGATAAGCACTCTAGACTGCTCGTACGGTTTCCGTGTGCCACTGTTTCAATCAATAATTCGCTGCTCTCTGATTGGCGGTCTTATCATTTCATGCGTTAGCAAGGCATCCACTCGGCCACAAGTTATAACAAATTCATATCAATAAATATTTCTTAGATATGCTTCTTTACGGTAAGTAAATCAAACCCAACTTTATGCTTTTAGTAACTTATGAAACACTGACAAGCATACAATACGACCGATTACAAACAAACTAGAAAAATTGTCAATATACAGTTGTGGAGATTGTAATGACATGATTAAGTTACGCATATACCTGATGGAATTCAGTTACATCAAGATGACTAGTCCCACATTGAACTAAATGTGCGTCCCGAGTTCTATTGTTAGTTATAATCCATCTCATTTAAAAATACAATGATTGTTTTTTTAACTATTTAGGTTCTGTCAGTTTAAAAATCCAGTACTTTTCGGGAGTCTTATTGTTATACATCATGGCAGCATGAACTAAACAACTAACTGATTGCAAGACAATCAGTCACAACGTAGGACCTCATACGTATGTACATTGGTTCAAGTTGACATACCCCATTAGCACGGAGAAATGAAATTGTCACACTAAAATCCACAATAATAAAGGTAGTTACAATATCAATGGTAATAGAAAAGATTAGGCATCGAAAATGTGATTCGAGAAAATTAAAATTAATCGAATAAGAACACAAACAAAACTATGAGAAACTTAGAAGCTCAGAATTTGGCGTAAGACAGAGATTGGATGGACCTGCATCATTGCAAACAATCTTGAGCCATGTCACTCTAAGTCATTAACCATTGTTTATGATAATGACGAGGACAGTAACCAAATAGTGTACACCTGTAAACATGACTCAGTCAAACTGTCAACGATTTCTTGAATTGATTGCCCTTACGTTTCTTCAACCTACTTCTACAACAGATATCATCCGTTCATGAAGGCGGTGATTTGACACACGTAACACATGTACCAACAACCTCAGTTGATAAAGATTTACTACTTCACCAATCAATTTGCTACGCTTACCTAG